AGTGAGGGATCATTGTCCAGGATGGGTTGTAGATCACTGATGATCACTTCAACCTCCCTGGCCACACAATAGCAGATGTAAAGGTAGCCATCTTACAGCAAAAAAACTTCAGGACCAGACTCCAAAGAGAAACTGCTGAGCTCCAGTTCATTTGCAAATTTGACACCATCAGATCAGGATTAAACAAAGACTGTGAATGGCTATCCAACTACAGAAACAGTTTCTCCTACCCTTGGTGTTCACACCTCAACTGCTAGCAGAGCACCTCACCCTCCCTGATTGAACTAACCTCGTTATCTCCACACTGATATATACCTGCCTCTGGAGATTTCCATTACTTGCATCTGAAGAAGTGAGGTTCTTACCCACGAAAGCTTATGCTCCCAGTACTTCTGTTAGTCTCAAAGGTGCCACAGGACCCTCTGTTGCTTTTTACAGATTCAGACTAACACGGCTACCCCTCTGATACTTTTCATGTTGTGACCTTAATAAAATTGAAAGACCCCAGCCATGGAAAGTCGGTAATATCAGGCCTTCCAGGGGGCTGTTACATTTGGAATTCTATTTGTAATAGTATTGAGAAATGTTTACTGCTGAGACAGAAGATAATGCCCCAGTATTGAACCTAAAAATAGATACTTCATCTCCTCTCCCCAGCACTCCATGCCCAATGAAGAGCGGTTGGAATTTCTTAAACATACTTGTGAAAGAGTGTATAAAAAGTGTTTAGCTCACTGGGAAGATAGGAGGAACTTGCTCAGTGCCTATATACGAGTCACCCAGGGTCTTTGTAATTTGCAACAACAAAAATAGAAGATTTTTACTTGCAGTGTGGAAAATTACATCTTAAAGAGCAGCTCTACTCTAAAAGACGCGCTCTCTTTAAAGGAAAAAGTGATAGCTTTGCAAGTAAAAAGATGTTTTTTTTAACTGTCAGCCCGGCAAGCTCATCCTGGACTGTACAGCCAAGGTGGGTTCTTTCCTTTTCCACTAATGAAGATTCTCCAGGCCAAAGAAGGGATTTAATGATATCTGTGCACTCTGATTATCTTCCGATTATGATCTCAGTGACACCTGTGGATTCCCAGTGCCTTCAAACCATTTTGTACAAGTGTAACTGGTTGGCCCTGTAGGTAAAATTCAGTGCACAATTAATGCACAAGTAGAAGTACAATCCAGTTCATGCTCTCCTAACTGTTTTGGCTCTGCAAGGTTAACAGGAAAAAAAGATATTACAACTTACATTGCCCACTAAAGTGAGAAGGTCTGTGGCTGAGTATGTGCAGATAGCAGATCTCTGGAGAAAGAAGGTCTCCTTTTTAAATAGTCACTTTTTAGAGAAAACCCACATTTTAAAAGTCTCTTTCTTGTTGATGTATATTGCAAATTAGTTATACGTCTTTCATTCCATCACATTGAGTGGTGTATGCGCTGCTTGCAACACTGAGAAGTGACCCTCAAAGAATGGCATTATGTTTCAGCTTTCACACTACCTTTCATGATATTTTCAAATGATGGTCCAGCAACTTTAGTGACGGACTAGTAAGAGGCATATACAGAAGGGAATCATGCCCTTTAGCATGACAGCTCCCAGAGGAGCAGCTGCACTCTTATTACACGCACAAGGCAGGAAGCTCATCACTGATATTTTATACAACACCTTCTAATGTCACATTGAATGGTGTAGAAAGGTTTCAGTCCCTACAGAAGTATGTGATGAAATTGGTGCCAGACATAGTACATTATAATGAAGTCTACACATTCTGTTTGTCAGCTTGCTGCTGTAAGTCAGACACACGCTTTAGAAGTTAATGGAATTTGTGCTCTTTTCCCCCTTCTCCTTGACATAACATTTATGGATAAAGTTAAGGGGAGAGGGAGTATGTTCATTCAGCTGTAGGGCTGTTTATCCAAACCTATTTCTGAGAGCGGCAATGTGTTCAGTTGCCAGGGATGTTAGTCAGGCAGGAAAATTGAAGTTGATTTCTTTTGTGCAACAGCTGCAGAACCAGGAGATGCTGAGGGCAATGATGAAGAAAGCTGAGCTGGAAATCAATGGCAAAGTGATTGAAACAGTGAAGAGGCTGGAGGATCCTGTGCAGCGACAGCGCATCCTGGTGGAGCAAGAAAGGCAGAAATACCTCCACGAAGAGGAAAAGATTGTGAAGAAGTTATGGTGGGTGGGAAAACCTCTCATAGTGCTTTGAGCTTGTTTGTTGTTCATGCTTGGCTTTTTCCTTTATAGAATATTGACTTCACTGTGGGACTGCTCATGTGGGTAAGTGCTACTTAGCATGCACGCCTTTTTCTCCTTTCCATGCACTCTCATAGGCTGAGAGAGAGCAGGGAGAGGCTGAGTCTGGTTGTAGAATTATATCTAAGTACAGCTGGGCAGAGAACAGATTTTGTGGTTTGCTGGCACTACTGAAAAAGCAAGGGGGAAGGGGAAGGTTCATTTTGGGACAAATCAAAACCCTTTTTTTTTAATTTTTAAAAATCAAGTCAGAAAAAATTGTTTTGGGTTGAATGAAATATTTCATTTAGATTTCAACCATTTTAAAATATTTGGTTGGTTTTTAAATAAAGTTTCAAGGAAATTTTGAAACAATAATTCATTTTGAACCAAAAATCAGAATATTTCATTTTTAAAATGTCAGAGCAAACAATTTCAATTTTTTTAGCCTTTTTTAAACTGAAACAATTTGGCAAAATCAACACAAATTCACAAAAAAGCATTGGTGTCACCAAATCTGCATTTTCCACCAAAAAAAAAATTCAACCAGCTCTATTTCTAAGTGACCATACATTGTGCAAATCAGTGGCCTCTAATTGGGTGGTCTAAATAATTCTAACACTGAGATTTTGTAAGATACTATTTAATGAATTAGTTTTTATTGCTGATCCAAATGTATATCTGGCCATATCTGAAAAATTGCTCCTTTATGTACAGAGAAACTTTAAAATCAGCTTCTCACTGCAAACATTAATCATGGTACTCTACCATACCAGCAGTTCTGATATTTATAAACAAAGAGGGAAAGCAATCTTCTGTGTTAATATATGTGTTGTCAAATGACTCAGATTTACTACAAAAGTATCACACCTGTGATGATAAAGGATAATATTAATCTAGAAATTTGTGTTTTCTCTGCAAGATTGTGAATTTACAGTATTATATACTGGTGGATATTGCTATAAAGTATCTCACAATCCTAATTGAACTACAGACAGTGCTGTCCCCCACCATTGTCCTGTTCATCAGTTTATTCACACACTGTGTATTAGCTAAGACTGTGTACACTCTGGGGCTGGAGTTCTCTTATGTCTACACTGCAATTGGACACCCATGGCTAGCCCATGCTAACTTACTCAGGCTCCCCGGGGCTCAGGCTAAGGGACTGTTTAATTGCGGTGTAGACATTCAGGCTCGGGACCCTCCCACCTCAAAGGATCCTAGAGCCTGGGCTCCAGACTGAGCCTGAATATCTACACTGCAGTTAAGTAACCCCTTAGACCGAGCCCTGTGAGCCCAAGTCAGCTGGCACAGGCTGGCCACAGTTTTTAAATTGCAGAGTAGAGATACCCTTTGTGTTCTTTGTTCATAATAGTGCCTAGATGAACTTAGTGGTGCTATCAGGACATACACCATAAAATTACAGAGAAAGGTTAACATTCTATATAGAAGCTTTCCATCTGACACCACTTCAGACCTATAAAGTAAATGCACAGTAACAGGACATGAAAATTATAATTTCTCAGACTTTTAATCATTGCCCTTTTGACCTCTTCCAAATCATAGTCCTACAGACTTTCCTCATCAGAATCAAGGAGTTTCAGGAATTCAGCTACATTTGTAAAAATGCACTAATTGCCCTGGAATATAAGCTTTAGTATTGCCTGAAGGAACAGAGGGAAAAACTCTTCCAGCTTTTCTGATTCTTGGTTTAACTCTCCTCTCTGCTACTTCAAGGAATATTTCCAGTTGGAAAAACAAAAATCATGGCAATTTCATATTACAAGTGAAGGAGATTTCTACAAACCAATTTAAATCAAATTCACTACTAGTATGTTTCTGTTGACATCTGTAAACCTGTGCCAATTTATGTCAGAAGAGGATTGGGACTTCAATTTCATCTCAGAGAATAGAGATATCCAATGAAGTCCAGAGAGATCTCTTAGACAGTCTGCCTTGAAGGGACTCCATGTAAACCCGATCATTTTGCATTCCTGATGATTGTACTTTAAGGCAGAAGTTTTTAGTAAATTATATTGGATCTAAGCCAAAGTATTTTTTTTTTAATTTAAGCCAAAGATACAATACCTTTTTTGGATGTCAGTTACCAAATACCAGCCTCAAAGCTTGCTAGATACCAAAGGCAAATTGGGATAATATGATATGTCAGTTACACTTTAAGTGAAGGATAGGTTTATAAATATGTTATGAAAAGCTAATATATGATTAATAGAGGTGATAAGCATATTACAGACAGGAGTCGTATGTTTTATAGATGGTTAGAAGCACATGAATAGGTGGTGTTGTAGTTGGTTATAAACCATAGTTATAAGCAACCTATTTATAAACTATTTATAAATTGTGATAGCCAGAAAGCACAGATGTATCCAGTAAAAATGCATTAGTTACCAATGCTTTACGTGGTAAAACTACAATGCACGGTATGCCGTACATATTGTACAAAGTTCTCTCTCAGAGCTAGAACACAAACTATAAGTGAAAGCTGACAGCACTTCTAATAACAGTAAAATAGAATAATTGTGCCCCTTCTGGAAAATTTCAAACAGACATAAAAATAAAGTACTCAGATTATTTTTTTAAAGTAAGATTTCAGAATCAGAATTTAATACTAGTATTTATGATTGTACAATAATTTTGAAGAACACTAGCAATTCTGCATCCTGCATCTGTAATTGGAGTAGGTGTCATCAGCATTGCTGAATAGCCTCTCGGATTCTCTGCCTTCAGTAGGCAGGTTTTCTAGGAAAAAAAATCATATTTGCATAATCAGGACATCTGGTTTCCATCGGCCTGGTGGCAATCCTTAGCATTGTGAGTGCTGACAAAATGTCCTCTTCTCTGCGTTCTCATTAACTGTAGACGGAGAATCAGTATTTTCTCCCAGCGTTCCACACACTTGTCAAATTTGGTCATAGGTACTGGAACTAGGGGTGCTGCTGCATCCCCCTGGCTTGAAGTGGTTTCCATCATACACAGGGTTTGTATGGCTTATTTAGTTCAATGGATCTCAGCACCCCCACTATAAAAATTGTTCCGGCGTCCCTGAATTTGGTATGAATATATTATTTCAAACCAGATATAACAATATATTTAAAATATATTCTAAATTTCCCTGTTATGTTCAAATGTTTATTATAGTGTGTAATTGCAGTTAGAAAAAACTTTTATATGTTACTATCTGGTGTAACCCACATTTTCATACTGAAGTCTGGAAAGAACTCTGTCTTTGTGAACAAAAGTGAAACAGACACCATCCCCTGCTATTTAGATGTCTCCCTTATCCCTGTCTATGTGACAGTGTCCCTTACATGCCAAAAGATGATTGTCCTGCTCCATGCCTCCTACTGTCTCCCCATTCAAGCCAGGAGCCAATTCAAAGTTCTGGTCCTAATTTTGAGGTCTCCAGCAGCATAGGGCCCAGATTTCCGAGAAGCTGCTTTTCTATTCCTGACTCTCAGAGACAGCTGGGTGTATCAGGGCCATTGAAGCCATTGTTCTCCAAGATGAAGTTCACAGGTACTCGTGACAGAGCTATCGATGCTCCTTGGTTGTGGAGCAACCTCTTACCAGAGGGTATGGGCTCACAGCAACGTTTTCTGGGCTTGATGATGGAAAGCTGATGGTTTTTTGCAAAATCCTTCCTGTGTTGGCTCTGTTCTTCGGATGTTATCCTGCTGTTTGTGTCTTCTTTATTGTAAAGGCAAATGTAGGAGAAGTAGGTATGTGTTATAGCTGTTTTAAATTCGATTGCCTTGTTCCCTGTAAAAGCAGAAGAATATCGTTCAGTTGGTGCCACCTAGTGGCCCCTTTTGCGATTTCTCCTCCCTGTGTTAATAAGCGAGATGTTTTCTCTCATCTGTATTTGTATTGGGAGACCTTCCAGACTGGTGGTCCTAAAGTGGGATCACTCAGCTTAGGTGTGCCTTATTCACATCTGCTCCATTCTGGCGTGCAGGCAGATAGCAAGAACACAAATCCTTCTCCCCAGATCTTTGTAAACAGGGTTTTTGTACATTTCAGACCCTGCCTGCTCACAAGGAACAAGTAAATCCTTCTTAGGGATAATGAGCTCTAGTCAGCTCTCAGCATCTCAAATGTGACTAAAGCACAGCATTGCCCCAGTGTAGAATCCAAAGAGCGTGCAACTGGTGGAAGAGACAAGGGGGGGGTGAGTTAATATCTTGTATTGGTTGACTTCTGATGGTGAAAGAGACAAGCTTTCGAGCTACACAGAGCTCTCTTCTTCAGGTCGCTACAACAGCACTGCAAACAACTGGTGGGAGGCATTCATCGGTGTCAGCTATATAATAAAGGTTGGGTGCTGACTGGATGGAAGTTAAGAAGAGCACTGTGAAATTCACACACTGTATTCGCTCCCCATAGCCTGCCCCAAGGATTAGTACTTCGTGTAGAGATATTGTGGAGCAAAGACATGCATTTATAAGGGCAGAGTTTAGGGGACAGGTCCCCAAAAGCTGCTATTTGTTCTTTGGCTTTCCATAATTAATTAGTTGGGCTGCTTATGCCTTTTTCAATCTGTTGGCAATTTCCTTACCCTTTTCTTGACAACTGAACAGTGTAATACGGCTCTCTTATATCTAGCTAGGTTTTTATATCATGCCCATCACTGTGATATCTGAGTGCCTGGCTGTCACATACAATCTCCGATTGTTGTTGTTATTACCTAGCTCTTAAATAGCACTTGTTATCCATAGATCTCAAAGTGATTTACAAAAGAGGCAAGTATCATTAGCCCCATTTTACAAATGGAGAAACTGAGGCATGGATAGATGAATGCTGAATTCAACACATCTGTGTCCACTCCTGTTTCTGAATTGTCCAAGAGCAGCTTATGATTTTCTCAGATATAATTTGGTATTTGCTATTATGTGACAAATCGTTTGTACAAATAACCTTGGTCTGTGGATTGTTAACGAGCTGTTTGTTGCATGTATTTGATAGTCAAGCTCTGGTGTCAGTTTTAATTGGACATGTAAGTCACATGCTGTTGTTCCTGTTGCTGAATGGATGCATGTAACTCTTAGACTCAGGATTCAGATGTGATTACTTACATGTATCAATTCAATGTATTCAGGATATTCTCTAGTATTAACATAACATTTGCTGTTTCTGAGAATATTCCTGCTAGTAAACTCATTAGCTAAAATATTCACTGAAAGCGGTCACAAAAAGCGGGGGGGGAATGGAGGCAGGTTTTTATTAGAACAAATATTCATGACTTGGGGGTGGGGATTGTGTGTTTGTTCTGAGGTAGTCACACAGTGCTACAGCTTATGTTTGTCATTTGTGCCCCCTGGTGTTAGGGCAGCTTATTCATATGGTGGCCTGTTCCTTGCAAAATCTCTCATAACATGTGCTGCCTCTGTGTATTTTATTATCCTCAGCATATTCCAAAACCCCAGTGTGTTGAGAGGAAGTTGCCCTGCTGGGAAGCTGGAGTTCTAGCTCTCTCACACACCCTCCTTTTAGGCACTCATTGTTATTTTCAGTATCAAGCTAGTAAGGGGTCAGTAGCAGTTTTTATGGTGCTGTGATATTTCTGGTCCAGATTTGTCCATTCGATTCCAACTATTTTCATAAAACAAAACTCTAATATGGAAGTTCAGTTCAAGTTCTATTTCTGCTTGTTTTTTTAAACAGTGAGCTAGAAGCTTTTGTCGAAGAGCTGAAGAAGGATTCTACTGCCACCAACAAGACAGTGTCGTTGAAAGATGTTGAAGATGGGGCTTTTCTTCTGCGGCAAGTAGGAGAAGCTGTTGCCACCCTCAAAGGTGTAGTTTCCCTTTTATTTTTGGTTTGCTTGTTCTAACACTTGGGAGTGATGTAGGTTTGCGTCTTGATCTGAGAATTGATCTTTGCCTTCTTAAAAAAATCAATTAAAAGTCTTGGGGGGTCTGAGTGTGTGATCTCTGTGTGCAGGCGAGTACATAACTGTTGAATACACACGCATGTATCCAACTCTTTTTTTTTAAATAGCGTTTGTCACTTTCTCTTGAACTTGGTGGTTCTTGTTTTCGTAGGCGAGTTTCCAACATTGCAGAATAAAATGAGGGCAATCCTCCGCATTGAAGTGGAAGCCGTGAGGTTTCTGAAGGAAGAGCCCCATAAACTAGACAGCTTGCTGAAGCGAGTCCGCAGCATGACAGATATCCTTACCACGCTGAGGAGGTGAGTTGTTTTTCAGAACTCTGAACAGTTCCAGCAAGGAGCACTGCAAAGCCTTTTCCATTCAGAGTCAAAAGGTTTTCAGAGCCATGGCTTGTTTATAGGGTTGTGTGTGTAGCCCCTCCCCTGAGGCATAGCTTTTCTCTCCCTAGTGCTTGCTATCACCAATACCTGGAGCAACTTTTCCCCACTCTTTGCATGGGTTGGGTCCTGGGTTCTTTTCTGACGCCTGGTGACTCCTCACTGTGCCAATACACAGCGTGCTGTCCCTTGAGAAGGAAGAGCAAGCAGTGTAAAAGCCCTGTACATAGGGGATAATAAGATAAATGAAAACAAACCCCAGCAAAGAAATAGCAGACCAAAAATAACAGCATAACAAAGAGGGGGCCTTACTGGGAACAGGATAATAGGGGAAGGAAAGGGTTATGCTTAACTAATACATTTATGAAAAAGCCAGTTCTCCATTTCCTAACACTCATCAGCCTCTGGCACCCTCTTAGGCACCTCCTTGAGGCAGATGGTAGGCTGATGTTGAATGTCCTGAGATGGAGTGTTGCTGTGCTGTGGCATTTGTCAGCTTAGACTGAAGTCCCCTGGGTGGGCAGGGTCCTCTCCTGACTCCAGTTGGACTTGCTGTACCCTGGTCTGGAATCCTCCTGGGGTCTTGGCTGGCACTCGGTAGCCAGTGCCAGGTTGTATCTCTCTCACTCTGCTGGATGCTGGTCACGTCAGTGCTGTAACTGCCTGCTCCATGCAGTTGAAGTCTTATAGCAGTCCAAAATCTCCCTTAGCGAGGAGTGAGAGTTTAGCAGAAACTCCCTGAGCTGTGCTGTCTCTCTTAGCTTCCAAACTAAAACTGAGACTAACCTCGGTCCATTGGTGTAGAGTCAGGCTACCCTCTCACTGGGGGCCGTATAGCTCTGGCTTGTTGTTGATCCAGTGACCTTCTTGTCCAAACCACACCAACAAGACTTTCTAATTCCTTCTGTCCCCACCCCTGACTCCAAGCACGCTGGGAAATGAGGTCAGAGGATCTTGCTAGCCATTATTGTTATAGTCCTGCTGTAAAGGCCCCTAGAGGTTCAGTCTGGAGTGCCAAGAGCTGGGGGTTACATATGGGTTCCTCTTAGAACTTCCTAACCGCATACTGAAAATCATGACTTCAATTGTTCGATGTAGAGTCTCTGTCTAAAGCAGCTACAATAGTCTAGTAGACCCTAACTAGGGATGGGTTGAATCCAAACCCCCTGACCAAGACATCTCTGACTGTTGGGGACATTTGGCTCAGGAGCCGTACAATGTGTGTTTGTGCCCATCTCTAACCCAATCAGTTGTAGACATTTTACAACAATTGGTGTTAGATCAGGCACACTTTGAGTGCACAGCACGAATCTCCCAAAATATAACACTAAGAAATAGCTAACACAAAGCATCGCTAACATGATGTTAGCATCACTAAAAGTTTTGTTTTTTACTAGCGAACTGGAAACAAATAGCAAATATTTTTGGGTATGCTCGTGGTTTCATGGAATTCTTTACTCTGGGCTTTGAAAATGAGAGATGTGACAAAAACATATAAGCCATACTTGAGATTTTTCAGCCACTAAGTACAACCATTATCCATGTTTGTCAGAAAACATGAGCAGCAAACAAATGCTAATTTTGTGAGGTAATGAGAATTGAATTTTCTTGCCAATGGCAACCCTGAAATAGTCAGCACCAAGGGATCAAAGTATATTATTGTAGTAACTTTCAGCTAAACACCTACGCTATAGCAAAATCTAAGTTGTGTGTGTGTGTGTGTATCTGTGTGTGTGTGAGAGAGAGAGAGAGAGAGAGAGAAAGAGAAACAAAGAGAGATGAATTTAAGGCTTAAGATTGGTATCTTTATTCTAGAAAATATCTTAGAAGAGATATTCCTGTATTGGCAGAGGGATGGACTAGCTCATCTAACCTGTCTTTTCTATTCTAATTTCTCTGATTCTATTAATTATTAATTTATTCTACCATGCTTACATCAGAAAATACCGATTGTGATGGGTTCGGTCACAGAGACCCCCTTGGGACTGTCACCTGATGTGCTGAAACTATCTCTGAGCCCATTTTCTTTGTCAGCTTGGGACTCCAGAACCCTGTCTTGTTAAGCCAGACATGCTAGTCTGCTGCAACACAGACCCAGGGGCTGAACCACGCCCCCAAAGCTGCAGCCTTTAACCAAAAACTGCTCATCAAGACACCTATCTCCAGCACCCAGACACCCAGTTACCAATGGGATCCAAGCCCCAGATAAATCCGTTTTACTCTGTATAAAGCTTATACAGGGTAAACTCGTAAATTGTCTGCCCTCTACAACACTGATAGAGAGAGATGCACAGCTGTTTGCTCCCCCAGGTATTAATCACTTACTCAGGGTTAATTAATAAACAAAAGTGATTTTATTAAGTATAAAAAGTAGGATTTAAGTGGTTTCAAGTAATAACAGACAGAACAAAGTAAGTTACCAAGCGAAATAAAACAAAACTCGCAAGTCTAAGCCTAATACATTTAAGAAACTAAATACAGGTAAATCTTACCCTCAGAGATGTTCCAATAAGCTTCTTTCACAGACTAGACTCCTTCTTAGTCTAGGCCCAATCCTGTCCCCTGGTATAGTTCTTGTTAGTTCCAGCTCCTTTTATAGCCTTGGCACAAGGCAGGAATCTTTTGTCTCTCTGGGTCCCCACCCCCTCCTTCTAAATGGAAAAGCACCAGGTTTAAGATGGATTCCTGTACCAGATGACATGGTCACATGTCCTGTGAGACCCCAAGCCTCCATTCTTCCCAGCCTGACTTACACGAACACAGGAAGGCTTACAAGTAAACAGAGCCATTTACAACCAATTGTCCTGGTTAATGGGAGCCATCAAGATTCCAAGCCATTATTAATGGCCCAAACTTTGCATAGTTACAATAGGACTTTAGAGTAATACTTCATATTTCTAGCTTTAGATACAAGAGTGATACATACAAATAGGATGAACACACACAATAGATTATAAGCTTTGTAATGATACCTTATAAGAGACCTTTTGCATGAAGCATATTCCAGTTACATTATATTCACACTCATTAGTATATTTCCATAAAGTATATGCAGTGCAACGTCACACCTATAATCTTTTAATTTCTAGTTTCCTCACACTTGAAAATTACCAAATTGATTTCTGTTTCCAACTGGGTGGGGGAAAAGAGAGTTTTTGCCAAAAGTATATTTTGTATCCAGATTACATCCAATAAAGTTAATATATAGCAAATGACTGGACTAATTATATGCAAATTTAATAAATAATGAATGATGATGTGTGGGATTTGTTTTGATAGACATGTTACAGAAGGTCTGCTGAAGGGCGTGGATCCTTCTCAAGCCATGCAATACAGTGCCATGGAAAAGGCAACAGCAACCGAAGTTCTGAAAAATCAAGAAGAGCTAATACGTGTCCATGGATACCCACAGCAAAACATAGCTGGAGTTACAGCAGAGGTGCAAGGGTCTTCAGTCAAGTCAGAAGTTCTGCCCTTAATGACAGTTCATCATGTACAGAGCTCTCCTGTAGTCATACATCAATATCAGCACTCTTCAGCACTGGTCAACCATACCCAGAATTCACCTTTGGTCACCAGCCATTCCGTAGGTTTGTCAGCAACAAGCCATCAAACCCCCACCATGCCAGTCACTGTACTGGAGTCCACAGCAGCAACCCAGCAATCACAGACGTCTCAGTCACCACAGGTCAATGGTTCCGTTATGCAAAGCCTTTTTATTGAAGAAATTCACAGTGCAAGTACCAGGAACCGAGCTGTATCAATTGAGGTACAGTGTATTCTCTTTAACTAGTGATATTCTCTTTGGGCCCATGCTTGACTTTACTCGGTGCTGCCAGCATGCATTTGAAACCTTAGGTAGGATTTTCAAAATACCAGTGGAGATAGGTGTCTGATTTCCAAAGAAAAGTCCATGGGAGTTGGGCCCATAACTTCCATAGGCACTTCTGAAAATCTTACCCCTTATTTTGAACCAAGACAAAATGTAATGTCATGTTTAAAAAAAAAAGTCTGAGGTGTCATTTCTGAGTGCTCTAGTGCTACTAGAGCCAGGTGATTACTTTCTTTTAAATCCCAAACTAAAAATCATGTTAACCAGGAGTGAAACCTATAAATCCCCTTCTATTACTATTGGGCAGGTGTTAAGTGATTAAAGTAGGATTTTTTCAGGAGTGGGGTAAGTGGAGGATTTAACATCAGCCTGGAAATGCCTAGGTAAGATTGTATATATATATTAAAAAGTATGGAAATGCTCAGTAAGGTCACCCAAACAACTGGAATTTTGTGAAGTTGGGGAACTGTGTAGTACACGGCTCTGGCCCTTCACATTTTTTTGATACACAAGTATGATTTCCCCCACCATCCCATGCTCCAGGTGTATAATCTACCTAATTTGAGTCCAGTCCTTACCATGTTAAAAGTATTTGTCTGTTAAGTCTCATGGTAACATGGCAGGCAGTACATTGTAGCCACACTTCTAAATTTGAAATCCTGTATACTTTTGGGGTTGGGGGATGTCTTGACCAGTCTTCCAGTTTGTGGTCTTTTGATGAAGATATTTAAAGGCCTCTCTTTTTCCTTTCACTGCATTTGGTCTTAAAGATGGCTGGAGTATTTTGCTGTAGCTCCATAACAACACTTTCCATTAGAGTTGTGCCTGATCAGGCCATCTATTCGAGTAAGGCATCCCAGTTAGGTCACCTCTCAATTTTGAGTTACTGATGGAAAGATGATATACAGTGTGTCTAGGACTTCCTTATGGCTTATGGTGGCTCGGTGTTGGGAAGACACAGGAGCAGAATTAAAGATGTTTGGGTGACCTTAGCGCTGTGTATTTCCATACTTTCTAATGATTGATTATTTTTCTGTGTCGCTCTAACATGGAATTTCCAGTTGGGGCTGTTGAGGAAAAAAACAACATGCTGTTAAGGGCCTTCTCTTAAAGCAGTGGCTAAATATTTAGGACCCTATCTGCAGGTCAACATCTGCTGTGTATTGCTATAAGAAGTCACAAGAGATACTTACATATGCTAGAGTGCAGGTAGGTAACTTGTTGATGCAATGAGTAAAGTATGTGTAGCCTCCATCACAAGGCAAGTGAAACAAAAATAGAGAACTAAGTAAATTAATCTGAAGCCAGAGCATTTTTCATCAGTTAAAAAAAAAATGATTGCTCCTGTATGGAGTTTTGTCAATGCTTTTTGTTTGTGGTTGTTCCTAGCAACATGTTATCCCAAATACTTACACCAAGGTGAGCACAATGGTAACTGTGATGTGTGTTTTTAAAACAATATGTAACAAGCATTGTCTGTTTTTAAACATTAAACACTATTTTGCATGGCTATAGCATTTTTTGTCCGTGTATCTCAAAGTGCATTACAAATATTATTAACAAGCCCACCAAATACCCTTGTGAAATGGTGGGTATTATTATCCCCATTTTACAGATGAGGAAACTGAGGCACGGAGACTTGCCAACAAATAAATAATAGCTTTCCTTCAATTTTTGAATAAATATTTTGTGCCTGCAGTAGTTCAGAAAGAAACCTATTGGAGGTAATGCAGTCTGTAAGTTTTCTCAGGATGATTTGACTTGCAAGGAGTGCTCTATAGGAAACGATGGTGCTAGTTGAGTTCTCAAGGCCAGAGCAGTAGATGCTTATAGTATGTTAAAGTGTGCTGAACAGTAGGCAGTGAATGTTTGATGTGAAATATTGCTCACTAGGAACCGAACAGAAATCAGAAACTTCTATTGCCTCACTACAGACCGATGCTGAGAAAATCTAACCAGTTTTGATTCATAATGTTTATATTTGGAGGTGTAGAAGTAACAGAGTAGAGACTGATGAAATCAGAACTCTAACTGAATGCTGTACTTCTCTTTAGAAAGCAGAAAAGAAATGGGAAGAGAAAAGACAGAACCTTGATCACTATAATGGAAAGGAGTTTGAAAAGCTCTTGGAAGAGGCACAGGCCAATATCATGAAGTCAATCCCTAACTTAGAGATGCCTCCACAGTCCACAGCCTTGCCAAAATTGGAGGCAGTGGATAAATTAGAAGTTTCAGGTAAGGTTTGCAGTTGTGAACTGAGAGTTTGTGTCTTTGAGAAAATTAAATGAGAAAAGTTTTTTTTATTAAAATGATAATTTAAGTTTATATATTTACTTAGCACCTTTATCAATAGCCTAGCCTTCCCGTGAGATAGTATGGGGGTATGTCCTGGGAAGCAGGGACTCTGTAGAGGATGCAGCAGTCGAGCTGGTTCACCAGCTAAACCTGAGCTCCTGGGGTGATACTGTAGCTAAGAGGGCGAATGCGAGCAGAAGGGATATGGCGTGACCTTTTAAGAACCTGTTCTGCTTGGTCCCGCTGCCCTGTGACAGGGCATATGCGCCTCACCTCCTCGCTCTGGGGGAGTTGGGAGCGTTTCCAGAGGGAGACGCACTGAGCTGGGAAGGGGTGGTGGCTCCGGGATGCGCCTTGTGCAAGAGCTCAGGTGAGGGGCTTGGACAGGCTCTGCCATGTCAGCCCAGGGCAGTGCAGGCTGCAGAGCTGTAGCCCAATCAGGCCAACGTACAGATGCCCCGCTCCACCCCAGTCCACCCACATGCCTGGCAGTTGGTTTCCAAGGACACAGTGGGAGTGGGAGCAGAGGGAGCTGCAGCCAGGGCCCCTTCCTGGGTGCACCTGGGGTGGTGGTGGGTGGTCTGAAACCCCCAGCCGCCGGGAAGTGCAGTCTGACACCACCCCCACCCTCCACCCACAGACCCCTGGCTAGGCTACTCAGGCAGCTGCTGCAGAGCGAATCACCTTCCTCTGGGACCCTGCCAGTGGTGGGGACAGGGACTAGTGTGTGATGCACACACAAATGCACCCCACCCACCCATACACAATTCCCCTGCGTGCTTCTCAGCCTTCCTGTAGACACCCCTTCATACTCCTCACCACAAATCCATACCCTGCCCCCTCACCCGAACCCTCACCACACACACTTACATACCCTTCACCACACCCCCACATGGACTCGCACATGCGCACACACACAACCCCCACCCTGTGTGCAGTCTTCAACACACACACACATACAACCCCCCTATGTGTGCACGCACACACACAGTCCTCCCTGCACACCTCTCTCAACCAGGGCCGGCTCTAACTTTTTTGCTGCCCCAAGCAGCAAAAAAAAGCGCCGTCCC